TCTCGTTGGGGATGATGCAGCGCACGAAGTGCGGCGCCGTGGCTCTCAGAGTCGACATCAGTCTATTGAGTTGTTCCTGGCGAGAAAAAAATAACGAGAATTTACCTCCACTAGGAGAGAGAATTCATGAGCCCTTCATTCAAAGCACACATACGCTATGACATTGTTTATCGTTACATTACCGATTCAAATAGTCCTCTGTTGAAATAAAAAGGCGCCTACACGCCAGTTGATAAACTAAAAACCGTGTATATTGTCTTCTATACATACTCTATAGATGGCTGAGACAGTGAGAAAACCAGAGCCCTTCTTCCTCTTTCCTTTTCCTCCGGTGTCAACCTCCTCTGCAATCTTGTCGGCGAACAACTGGGCGAGTAGGGTATTAGAATGTGACCTAGCAAACAGCTCACAAACAGTGTCGTTCAATGGGTCCTTGTTCTTCTCCAGCCAGTGCATTACGTTGTAGTTGACGGTACCAGCGTAGTGCCCGATGCCAAAGTGTGCCTCTTTTTGTCCACCCTTTGGAGGCTTCGGCTTGATGAAATTGGGAGATTTGCCCAGATGATTATCCTGGAGCTTATCAAGGAAGGTCATATCAGTCGCTTTGGGGAACATGGATTCTTCCTCCAGGATAGCCATGACACCCATTGGTTTTTCGATGAGGTCAATACAGGCTTGTAGGTCAAGACCAAAATCAATGAAGGTCCATTCGATGCCCTCACGCTTGTACTCTTCTTGTTCCAGCACGAACATGTGATGGTTGAAGAACTGCTGCAGCTTCTCGTTGGTGAAGTTGATGCAGATCTGCTCGAAGCCGTTGTAGTCGAAGATCTCGAATCCAGCAATGTCCAGCACGCCGATGAAGAACTTCTTCTTCACCTTAGTCGCAAGAGTTTCGTTAACTCTATTGACCAGCGATCTGAAGTTTCTGTCGTAAATGGCTTTGCCGAGTGCTCCGATGGCGTAGAGGACCTGCTCCTTGTTCTGACCCTTGTTGACGAACTCGTTTCCAACTTTGATGCGTGGCTTCAGCAATCCCTTGTAGAGCTCGGCATCATTGAGGCCGAACAGATGGGCGACCTTCTCTCCCGCCTGAGTGCCGTCACCTTCCGCCTGCTCCTCACGCGGCCTCTGCTTGAACGTCATAGTGCCCAGGTGCATCACGCCGGCTACCAGCTTATAGATGTTCTCCTTCTCCTCATCCAAGAAGCCGAGAATATCGAACGCTTTCTGTTCGCAAAAACAATACGTACCTTATTAGTAAATCGAAAGAAGTAGCGCAATGTACTACGTCAATCGAAGGAAAGAGCAGGTTGTTAAATAGTTCACACCTGTATGAGGACAGGCTTGCGACGATAAGTTTTCACGAATTGCAAACGTTTAAGGGCCGCATCCCGTTACCATAGTTACGGTCAACGTAGACTATGTGCGACCTGAAAACAATATATACATATAATATATGATACGTATACATATAATATGATACATATAATGTATATATTGCTCTCAGTGTGCGATGAGCGTAACGTAGTAACTATCACGTGACCGATGCTTACGTCCGTGTCCCGTAGTTCCTGTGCGTCGTCAACGCCATCTATGTAAGTCTTTCCTTGAGAAACGAAGTGATAGAACTCGATCGGATCGGTGAGCAGCATCTTCTCTGCAATGCGTAACGATGGCAACCATGTAACTAGGCGACGTTCCCGCGAGCCATGGTGAACCATTATGGTGAGACCGCGGCCCGCTGCGCAGTTTGCGACATAATAGAGATAGACACTCAGAGTGTGTACCGATACGAAGGACTGAACAAGCGTTAGCGGGCTGCTGGGGAATTTTTGAGAGAGGACTTATTGAAGCAGACGCTCGTTAAAGCACCGAACGCGATGAATGAACGCGACGAAAAAAATCGAAGGCAGGCAAATAAAACACAAACAATAGAAGGCTATCGTGAGAGGCAACGCAGAAAATCAGCAGCAGAGTGAAATGAGGAGACGCGATGCCGCAGTAGAAGACTCTAGACACGAGTAGGTGCAGTGAGCAGCGTCATATGCGTGCACATATACTCGACATATACGCGTGGCGCGAAACGCGTTTATTAACGTTCACGGGTGCGTCAGCGCGAAACGAACAACGCGATCAACATCAAACATCTATTTGCTTCATCCTGGGGTTTAGAGAGGTGTCAACATTGCAAACTGGCAAAAAGAGCATAGATAGCGCTATACGTTAGAGGAATGAATTGAGTTATACTATATCTACGTAGTATACCCGAGTTATATATATATATATATATATATATATATATAATATATATATCAAGAAATCAGGAGTGGGATTCTTGTGGGGTTACGATGAGGTGAGTGTATGCGGTAACGTACTTTTCAGGTAATCCAGGCCGCCGCTCATGATCTGGTAGAAGATGTGGTAGCTGCGCTCCATTGGCTGCTGGGCGATGACGCGCGATTTCTCCAACAAATCTAAAATCGGCAAAATAATGGAGGAAGTTATAATGCACTGATCATTATTCCAGTCTGAAATGTACGTCGTTAGAGTTCATTTATGTTAATAATCTTTTACTGTCATGCAAGGCGGATTGCTTAATTTTTTTTATTTGCGATGGGTGATATATATATATATATATATATATATATATATATATATATATATATATATATAGACATATATTTATATATTTATGAAGAACCTCAACTAGAGTGAAATAACTGTCGATAGGATGATTCACACTTACAATTCTCGATGTCCGCTCCAGCTAACTTGCCAGATGGTCCGAAATGGATCCGAATGAATTTACCCTGAATATTGAAATGCGATCTTGAATTTATATTTATATAAATGACGATGACGATAATTCAGGTGGTAAGCGAGTGGTAAACTACTACTACAAACTAAGGTTGCTTGCTTGATCTCATGTTTGCCTTCTACGCTCTGAAATTGTGAAGCTAATGATAATAGGGAGTCGTCGGTTTGACGGGATATGCTTACGAAACGAGACGAGTTGTCATTTCGCGTAGTTTTGGCGTTTCCAAAGCTCTCCAGTACAGGGTTGGCCTGCACAATCTGATCCTCCAGCGTTCCCTGTACGCAAGCGACAAACATAAGAACAGGATAATTCCCTTTTCTATAATAATCTGTCGGGAGAGACGCACGTACGAATTCAAAACACAAACATGCTGTCAACACCACAGATTGAGCGTTTCCTGCGTTTCATTCTAATCTTACGAATGCTATTCTTGTATGCTAAGATTTACTAAAGGTTACAATTATCTCTTACTTCGCCGTTCAAACGTTGTAGTTTTTGAGTAAAATACGGCTAAAATACCCGGAATACTGATATTTGTCTTTTAAATCTCATAAATTTTAAGCAGTAAATTTATGATTACGTTGCCAATTACCTATAACAAGATCATTACATTTATTCTACAGTTTAGCACAGTTAGTTATGTTGCTCGATTTATTTCCGCCAAGGGCCAAATCTGTCTCTGCAATTAAACATTTTCAATGGGGCATGCCCATTAGATACATGCCAAGTTTCATGCTTGCATTTTCAAATTACTTTTTTCTTCACAACTCATTCTATTATATTGGAGACGATTATATTGACTGAAATTATATGTAATTACCTAAACAGATTGTAATTATATAATTAACTGGAACAGACTGCAACCACAGTTTAACTATTTACCTTAACAACCAACCCTAGATGTTCTTCGTCGGAAAAACGCTTGAAAATTAAATTTGACAAAAAAGCAAAACCACATTGATTCTAACAAAACTCAAAATCGAACAATTTACATCAGTTTCAAGGGATTTCCAAAATCAGCTATCTAATGAACGCGTTTACGAAAAATGCAGTTATAGGTAGTTGTTAACGGGAAATAAAATCAATATAAAACATGCACGCCGTATTACTAACGTACAATAAATATGCATATTTTTGTAATAATGACAATGGAACCGATATTTTTCAATGCCACATTAGTATAGTTTCTGGAGTAGTGGTGGACACACACACACACACACACACACACACACACACACACACACACACACACACACACACACACACACACACACACACACACACACACACACACACACACACACACACATCACATATATATATATATATATATATATTGCGTCTAGCTGCTATGAACCAAAGCCACCAGTACTCCTAAGAATTCAATATACTGGATCCAAAATTGCAAATCCTACACGCAAAATAAAGAAAAGGAATCCGACGCCAAAACTGTCACAGAAAAATAAAATAAAATGCAAACCACACGCAAAACCTCAAAATAAAGGTTCGTAGACGGAAAACCTATTGCGGTTCACACACGAGAAGTCACGGAAGAGAGAGCAAGTAAATAAATTACCACGCAATTAAGCAGCAAACTCGTTTACTAGAGCACACACGGCAACCCGCTAAGATACGCACAGGATAGAGCCGCGTAAAAGATGGATTCACACTCAAAACGTCAAGCGTTTACATGCGTTGAAAACCGTCAGGTTTCAGAGCTTGCCCGTCAAAAGGCGACGCTCTGTGCAAAGATATACACCCGCCATACACTCATCCGGCCATATTGGAATATTTACCCATGTTTAGTTTGTAAAAAATCACAAAAAACATCTTCATTCCATGCGTTGTAGGGATGTGAGGATACACAAAGTGTTCAAGTGGGTCTGCACACACGCAGTGAAAAGGCAAGATGCTACATGCGAGTGGGAATTCACGGGCGACTGGTGCATAGTTGATAGACTTCAATACGAAGCACACATATGTTCGCATCATGTCACATTAGCGCGTGGAAAAGAAACCACGTGGTCTGTAATTACCATCAATCATCTCTGCGACGTAAATGAAACGTCTAGTTTATCGCATCGAATTGCAAACATTGAAAAAATATATTAATTTATTGCGTTCGAAATGGTTGATGCCGGCCGCCTGGTGGCGAGCCGATGCCGGCAGCAGACGTTGTCATGAAGACATGGTGTGGCAGAGCGATCAGGTTACACGGAGTGAAATATTAGAACTGCGAGCGAGCTTAGAAGCATTTGAAACTGACCCTGAAAAAAACGCCGAGACAATTGTTGATAATGTTTTGATTTATTTAATATTCGCGTCTTTTTTCCGATGATCGCCACTAGTTTTCGATGTCGTGATTTATATGTTTCAAGATTGCTTTGAGATATTGCTAACATCACAATTGTAATAAAGTGATTTATTTCTATTATATCTAAGATCTCGGCAGCAAGTTATCATGTAGAAAAAGATTATTTTCTGATGATGGAAATCGGCACGGAAGACGCGACGTCGGTAGATTAGTTAGTGATTCATCCTGCATAAAATATTAAAAGTAGACCGGTTAGGGTTGCTACGCGGAATGGATTACTTCAATGCAAAAATCCAGGATCGAAAACGTGCGATGAAAATGTTTAATCTAAACGGGATATATATATATGAAAGTGTAGAGGTGGCATCAAAATCATATGTGTCAAACAAAAAATAATTCCTAAAAAGGGAAGAAATATTGAGTTAAAAAAGAAAAAGAAAATACATCCAGGGAAAATGCAGCTCCACGGCCTAGCATGCTGGCACTTCGTCTGCATGCTACCAGCTTACCCCTTTGCCAAATGTCTGCTGCGCGGTATTGCCACCAGTCGTGCTGGCAGCAATATTAGCAAAATACTGGATAACCTTCTTCGTGTTCTCGGTTTTTCCGGCACCGGATTCGCCCGTGATCAGCATAGACTGATTTTCGCGGTCTGTACGGAAGCACACAAAGAAAAAAGCTGTAACATACACGCATAGACATCGTCAACGTCGTCGCCGCTGCGACACGTTGACGATGCACCGTGCACGTCGGTACCGCCGTAGCTAAAACCTCACCTGCATTGGCCTGTGTGTCGGTACGTGCGTGCGTGTTCGTGCATGCGTGCGTGCTCGTGCGTGCATTCGTGTTCGTGCGTGCGTGCATGTGAGCGTGTTCGTGCGTGCGTGTTCGTGTTTCGTGCCAACTTCGGCTTCTTCACACGCGCAATGTCCACCTGTCACTACAGGCCAACTGCAGGGGGCGTGTTTTAGCGTTGGTAGCGACGTGTTAGGTGCCAGCTTACCCCTTTAGTACCGAACGTTTGCTGTGTTCCTCCTGACGTGCTGGCGGCAATGTTAGCGAAATACTGGATAACCTTCTTGGTGTTTTCGGTTTTTCCGGCACCAGATTCGCCCGTGATCAGCATAGACTGATCCTCGCGGTCTGCATATACGCAATAGACACTCGTCATGTAACGATAACACAGCAGCAAGGAAAAGGAACTGATCCATATATCGCCACAGTGACCGATAGCGCTGCAATATCACGTTATTCAAGCTGTAATGCTATGTGTCGATGAATCAAAACAAGCGACAATTCATAGAGGAATAATTCGTCAATGATTCTGAAATATTTAAACATGCTGACAGGCAAATATGATAACGGACGCGAAATGTTTTTTCTAAATACGAAGACACTGTTGTTGTCTGTCCTTTGACACAGGTCAAATAAGCTATTATTGATTATTATGTGTCTGTTGTCTGCAGAATGCACCTGTACTATAGAGATAGAAACCGAGCATGCACATACTCATCAACATGTCCGTGTAAGCGTTGTCAGCGATGGAGAACAGATGAGGTGGCATCTCGGGCCTTCTCCTGCCCTTGTAAGCTTCCACGACCTCTACGTTATAGATCGGCAGTCTCTTGTAAGGGTTGATCACCACGCAGAACAATCCCGAATAAGTCTGCAAGTGTACGAAATGCATACATCAAGGTATAGCTCATGTTAAACGCTCGGCTGCATCGATGTGATTGCGGACTTGATGACTGTACGGCAGTTATAGAGGTTATAGAGAGGCGGACTCACGTAGATCATCCAGGCGTGATAGCGCTGTCTCAGGTTGTGCAGCACAGAACCCTCGTTCAGGTACGTCAGGTTGGCCATGTCATCGGTCTTCTCAAACTTCGGAGGGTTGACTTGTTGTACGTCGTCCTCTTTAAAGACCTTCTCCTGCACATTGCAAAATCAAGTCAGCCCAATTAGACATGCAGCATATATATATATATATATATATATATATACGAGTGTGTGTGTGCGTGCGTGCGTGCGTGCGTGCGTGCGTGCGTGCGTGCGTGTGTGTGTGTGTGTGTGTGTGTGTGTGTGTGTGTGTGTGTGGTGGTGGGTGGGGGTGGGGTCGGCGCGTCG